GGTTAGGCAGGCTTGAACTATGCATGTGAAGCCACCTGAGAGGTATATTCAATCCAATAAAGATTTCTCATTGTTTGGTAACTATTTGCTGCAAATGCAGCAAAAATCAATATAAAAATATTACCCACACAGCATTCTACAGGTTACTTGTTATGTGTTAGTTTCTGTTGTTTCGAAGATTGGATTATTAATGATATTAATATTTCGCTCACTGAACAATATTTCACTAAAATACGTGATTAAAAAGCAACTTAAATTGGAAAAAATATTATCAAGTTCCGTGTATAAACACTAGTGTAAAGAGGCGGCGGAGCGCCCTTTTAGCCCAAATCGGCTAGTAAGGCGTCATATGACACAGGTTTGTGCTGGTACAGCGCTTCCTCTGGCGACACAACAAGAGCAAGGGCGGTAGACAAAAGTGTTGGTTTAGTGATACATTCTGCTTTGGAAGATTCAAGAAATAATAATCGTAGTAAATATACACACAAACTAGATACTTTGCCATTATATCTATATTTAATTTCTTCACTGATTTGACACATACTGGATATTCTCGGGCGGACATCCATTTTCAACGCATGGCAACCATCACGGTGAAAACAAAGGTCGAAAACTCTCGGTACTTCAGGATGGTTGTTGAGACTCCCCTGAACAGTGTAACAAAATTACCCCTGCATGTGTATCGCATTTGATTGTTCGGGATTACTTCAAAGTTGAGTTCCTGTTCCTCAGAAGCACGCGCAGAGCCCTTAGAAATACTTGGTACAGTGGTCTTAGCAACGTGGAATGTCTTGTGATGTAGCTCCGCCCCCGAAAATATTTAGAAAGCGATAAGTGCGTACATGAGAGTTGTAAACAATATTTATCAGCGCCGTACAAGATCTGCCCGGGAGATTGAGACAGAGTATGACACAGCACATTCCATTTTCGGACACACCGTGTACCAGACTTCTTTTAAATAGTACGTAATTTTTATGTAATGGTTATGAAAAATCTTTATAAATAGTTAAAATACAGAAATAAACCACATTTTTCATGAACATATTGAACATTTTGCTTGACCGAGCCAAATACAACACGTATAAAGAACGTATAGTGTCCAGCCATTGGTTGACCACATTTGTACATGTTGTAATTGGCTCTTCCGTTTCACCTCTCCGGAATGTTCTACTTTCGCTGTCTAATCACAGGTTTTTCAAAAAACGTCGAAAAAACACAAGAATTAGTAGAAATGTTCCTGTTTTGGGCAGATTATTGATAGAGAATAATGTCTTTATTACAAAAATGCTGAAAAACAGTTTTTGCCTTAGTTATTTTTTATCAGCGAAAAACTGCGAACTCGGCAAATTTGGTTGCAAAACTTCCCCCTGTCTATCACATCATGGAGGTAATTATCTTTTTTTACTTCCATGATCACATACACCCAGCGACACCGATGCCAGCATTCCGTGAAGGAAAATATTTTGTCATTGACAGTTTTAGATTTGAATTAAATCAACGTAAATCATTAAGTGTGAGAGCTGAGGCTAGCATGCATGAGTGACATTTCTTGGATATTCTAATTCTTAATTTTCGAAAAAACAACAAACGCTATTTCTTGCAAATACAATAGCAATTAATAATAGTCATTGCACAATTCGTGAATCGCTGATTCGTTGATTCTCGAATCTTGATTCGTTGATTCTTCATTTAGCCTTACCCGGATTAAGGTTATGGGAAGTCAAAGGAAATCCGATCGGATATTTTAATGGTAGTAATGCAACTGCAGTATACCTTAAATCAAAGGTATGTGTATATTGTGTGATAATATTGAGCGGAATCACTGACATCAACGTACAAGTTCAACTTAGCTGTCCAATGAATGGTTTTATTCAGAATATTTAAATAAATAAACACTTATCAGACACTGACTCGTCCGTTTTGATTTACTAAATAACAAGCCAGGATCTGTGATCAGCAACAGAGTTCTGAACTTGAAGTAGCAAGTCATCGATTTGGAATCGCGTTTACACACACAATGTTTCATACTTACGCCCTGTTTCTTGGAAATCCCATTTCCATGAGAGTGTCCACTTCAGTAGAAGACATACTTGAAACAAACAGCGAACCAAAATGACTTCAAAACATCAAAATTCTCCCCCAATACAGCACACACCGGTCGGTGTTAACTACGGTACATGTGTTAGGATAAGACCCTCTATCCTGGTGATATTTTTCCAGGCAGAAATAATTCACTTCCGGTCTCCATTCATTCATCATCACACAGTCACAATACACGTCTACCATCAGAATGGCTGCGTGGTGTTGAATGTGCGGAAGTCCTATTTATATTTAATCTTGCGACTCACATCCACGTATTTGATGTTGTAGCATTAGATTTGTGTGCGTAGTCAACGAACCATGGCGAAGCAGTACGATATTATAATTCGTTTACTGATGGTTGGCGACTCAGGCGTCGGTAAAACTTGCATGTTATGTCGATTTGCAGATGACGATATCTCGTCCACTCACGTTTCAACAATAGGTGAGTATGGTCAATGTCTTAGATTCAAAATGTTTATTTTACTGTAATTAAAGCAGCTAGTGATCGTTTTTTTTTTTTCTGAAGCGGTCTAAATTTCGGATATTTAATCCTTCAAAATTAACCTATCATATCAACAGGTGTCAAACCATTAAAATAAAGATGAGTTTTGTAAAAGATGTTTTCAAAACAATGAACAGTTGATGAAAAAAATACTTATAAACAACAATGAACAACCACTAGCTAAAGAACGTTAAGTAATAAATTAATAAGTTTCTAAAATAGTATTTGGAAATACGACCTGTCAAAGTTGAATTATATATAGTATCTAATTTGCATAATCTGATTATTTGCATAATTTCAGATTACACATCATGGATGCTGTATATGGCTAATTACAGATAAATATTTAAATAACATTTGGAAACATGGCAGTTGAAATCTGTTCAACCAATCACAGCAACTGTGAATTTTATGTCACAAGTACGTGAAAATACAATTTTGGAATGACCTATTATTAAAGCGTCACCAAATCAGTAATTAGCATCGAGTATAGAGGGTGGTACAACAGAATGTCCCATTGACCAATCAAAACCTCCCATTTAAATTTGAATCAAGATTCATAGGTATTTACAAAAAAATACTGTCTATAGATAGTCTGAAATGGACGTATAAAAACTATTATATGTCAATTATTAATTAAATAGTATGTGTTATAGAATTATATAATTCCACTTCTGCAATTATAAAAGCAGCTTTCATTTAACATTGATGCAAATATTACCACAATGGATTTGATTTATTTTCTGTCTAACTTCCTTATAAATGTTGTAAACACCATTGTATTTTTGTTCAACCATTACCTGGAAAAAATAAATCATGTCCCTCTTATTGGAACCACTGTTCATGCTTAATTTTTATTTAAAAAAATAATAAAACAGAGTATCAAAGGAAGCCAAACAAGTTTTCTAACATCTACAAGCAAAATATAAATGAATTGCTGATAAAAATGCATGCTGGTGAATGAGGAACAGCTTTTAATGCGCAGTGTTGGAAAAAATATATTGAAAGTGATAGCCTACAATCTCAATCTATGATTGGTCGAGCCAAACAAACAAACAATTGTTTGATATTTCTTATCAGATTTGACCTAGTGACCTTTGACCTCAACCATTACTATGCTGTGTCATTCACATGGAACAGGTTGTGCCATTTGCAAATGACGTTGTTGTAAACCATAAAAAAAATTGTAATTTGTAATAAAATAAAATATAAATTTTTTTGGAAGAAGTCATTATTCCCAAGGCCATTCATTGGCCTCGTCTAAAAATGTAATACTAAGAAAAAATATTGATTGTTAAAAAAAATTTACTATGTATAATTCACTCACAATATTCATAATGTTGTTGAAAACAAAATATTTTTATATGTCTATGAATTGTTTCATTTATGAATGTAAAAATACAAATAAAGCAATTTTAAATTCATAAAACTGAATGAATATCTATTCAAGTGATAATAATGAAGAACGTCATGTATAATCCTTTGCCTGTATGACAGTGTGACTGATCCACGTATTTAGGCATGTAATCCAGAAATGATATATATTTTTCCACCCAGCAAAAATAAAGATATTTTCGAATCCATAAACCAATATAATAAATGCCAAATCAGATTAAGATTTTGTTTGATATTGCAGGGTATTTTCGTATCATTTTAGTTTCTGTCTTGTTGTTTTTTTGAATATCCTGGCACCTGTACATGAAGTTAAACATCTTGGTTTTTTGTTTTTCTAGGAATTGATTTCAAAATTAAAACACTTACAATTGATGGAAAAAAGATACGTATACAGATATGGTAAGCTGAATTAAATTTAGGTTTTTTTTTACTTACAATTCATGTTGATGTGGTATTGAATTTCAACTACAATACATGTTTTGACACTAAGGCCAGAGTTTTTTTTATTCCTTGTTTCTCGAGTTTTTATAAGGCAATTTTTTTGAGGAGGGCGGAAAAAAAATAAAATTAATTTTTGTTTTCCATTAGATTTGTGTGATTCTCAAAGAATTGTAAGTGAGATCATTGATTGGAGAGAAGAAATTAAATACAATTTTATTCCATGTTTAACCTTGTTTCTCATCTGCGCGAGACTTTGGTACTTTGACCATGATACTCCCACAAAAATACAACTTGAATTTGTTATGCGGCGGACGGTAAAAAAAACGAAGATAAAACTAATATTTTGTTAGCAATTTTTTGTGCTTACAAGTCGGCGGGCGCGAGAAGTTACGCTGAAATAAAATTTTATTTTTATTTCATTTTCGGCTCTTGTTCATTCGGCGGGTTCGCGAAACAAGCAATAATAAAAGTCTGGCCTAAATCATTGCATTGTAAACAGATTTTTTTGACCAATTCAAAAATGAGAAACTTTCTTAGTGTATAAAATCAGGGTATAGTCTGAGCTGTTGAATTTAAAAGAACAAATTTGGAATCTTTTTACTTTGATTTGGATCTAGAATTCATCGTTGAAATGACGAATAAAACCACATGACTGTATAGATGTAGTAAAATGTCAATGAATAATTGTCTCATGCTAGCGCTATATGACTATCGTTACCATGGAAATTTGAGTATTTTTTAGTAGATGTTTATTGTGATGTGAATTGTGTCACCATTCATTGTGGTTTTTGTCTGATGGATGTTTTATTTAGTTGCCATTGTGTGTGAGATGCATCACAATGCAATAAAAAAATCATCAACATCGCTACAATTAAATGACATTTTCACTCTATTTGCACCTCAGGGATACAGCAGGACAAGAAAGATATGAAACAATTACAAAACAATATTACAGAAGAGCGCAGGTACGTAATATATATGACTGACGTGACGTGAATATTAATTAAAATCATTCTTGTCAGTCGTTATATCAGTTGCCATGGTTACCACTGTGTGTAGTACGTGTTATCAGTTAGAAATCTATGACACCATAATTTGATCAACTAACAATGTGTCTGTATAATGTCATAGTTTTTACATCATTGCATTCGTTTATGCACTTAATAGTATGTTGCCATGGTAATGCATGTTGCCTGAAGCTTCAAATATGTAAAATAGAACTTCCAAAACAAGATAAAAACATATGTTGTTTTTGCTAAAATAGGAAATATTAATTAAAAGTAGATATGCTACCCTGACCTTTTTACGCAGTTATTTTGTACTGGAAGTTTTTATTTTATAGAGAAAAAAAAAACTCACATTGCCTTCAAAAACAAACAAAGGCTTTTAACTCAGTGATTTTTTATTGTTTAAAAATCTAGCTCAGTTTAAGAATGGAGCTTTTTTTTAGCTCTATGATTTAAGAGAGGCGCCTAAAGTTGTATTGTCTGCAAAACTGAGTTGAAAGGCCTTTCAATTTTGAATAACTTGGCTAAAAATCAAATCTGAAAGTTACCAAGTTATGCTGTTTGAAACCTGACGCATTGCACCATTTATCAAGTTATAATTGTGTCGTAACTATTCGTACTATAAATCCCTGCTTTTGAATTCTGAGGACACTAACCACAACTAACCTAGGGAGTACTTAATGTTTGATATTCAACGTTCACTGTGGTGAAATAGTTGTCCTATAAATTTGAAAGGAAAGGACTATTCAGGAAACAACTGAGTGTGGTGTACTGCATCTCAGACTACTGCTGAAAAGGCAAAGGTTTGTCACCTGCGCACGTACAGGAATTGTGTTCCAAGCGACGATAACTCATGCTAAAAATGCAAAAGCTCGTGGGTAGACACTTTTTTTGTAAACAACGACACGTTATGGCCGTCTGTCGCATGTGTAGGTGACGACTCCCCCGCTTTAAGTGCCAATAACAAGAATAAGCTCTACTGAACATAAAAAAACTATGTAATATAGATTTATATTACAAAGCTTGTGCTACCGATATGTTGTGCTGCACATTAAACTATGTGAACAAATCCTGTGATGATTTCAAATATTAAATATTCATACTCGTATTCATTTGCATATAGTAATTGGTATTAGTGCGAGGGTCATCAAAAGTGCCACCTTGCATGTATAGCCTGTTCCATTAACCTGCACTTTTTTCTTATAATTTTCAATATTTTTGGAAACGAACTCTAATTTTAAGGCTAACATACTAATTTTGAGTAAATTTTCGATTTTTGCTAAAAAAAAATTGGCTATTTTTTCTCAATCTTCTGAAGGAAAGTGCAGACTATAAATAGAAAAAAGGTGGTGATTTCTGTAATATTTCATATTCAGAATGTACCCATATAGTGAATAAATTGACTTGTTTGTTTACAGGGAATTGTTCTTGTGTATGATATGAAAAATGAAGAATCTTTTAAAAATATTCAAAAATGGATGAAGTACATTTCAGATGTGAGTATAGTCAAATACTATACTGTAAACCGCTTTAACGCTTGGTAATG